GACGGAAGTTTATAAGTTCATCAAGCGTGCAATTCACGGGTGGTTTCCGTAGAAGCCACATTTTGACCCACAGCTGGGGATCTGGAAGGTCAGGGGCATTTGTTGTTGACATGATGCTTGTGAGGCTAAGGACACGGTGCGGAGAAAGAAGCGCCATCGTCTGTGCAATCATGCCACCCATACTGATGCCCATAACGTGGGCAGATGGAATGCCAAGCGCATCCAATAGCCCCAGAGCATCACGTGCCATGTCCTTAATCGTGTAGGGAAGACGTTCCCCAAAGGCAAGAGCTTTTGGCAGCAACAGACGAGCTGGTATGACACTACCGCGTTTCTCTACTTTTGTGGAAAGTCCAATGTCACGGTTATCAAAGCGCACTACAAAAAAACCACACTTGACTAGTTTTTCACAGAACGCCTCATCCCAGGCATATATTTGCATGTTAATCCCACCAATGAGAAGCACAACCGGCATCTGTTTAAGTGGATCACCAAAACATTGATAGCAGAGCTCGATGCGCATATCACTTGCGGTGCAATACCGCACAAATGTCACCATCTCTTCCGAACGCATGGCACCTAATAACTTTTATTTGACTCTCCTTCACCCTCTCACACTGTATTTTCGTATATGGTTGTATATGTATGTATCTCCCTCAAAAACTTTTGTTTCTTTGTACTTCTTCTTCTTGTTGTTGTTGTTGTTGTTCTTTTTTTTCTTTTTTTACTCTTCACTTTTTTACTTCGTGTTGTGCCGCTACTTACTTTGCGGTGTCGTAGTGCTTTCCTGTCCCCCGTGCCACCCTCCACTCAATCCTTCCACCCCTCCCTCCCTTTAGTAGCACTGTGAGTACATGATGGGTAATTATGTATAAAAGCAGGGTAAAGGCGACATGTACACGGCATACAGAGCCAATAAATAAAACGTAAACAGACACGACACGTATCACACACACACAATTGACAACGATGCCTCTTTTCCATTCTTTTTCCATTCAGCAGCAGCAGCAGCCATTCAACCAACCAAAAAAAAAAAAAAAGCAAATAAATAATGATGGGGAAATAAATAAAAAATCCCTCTCTCCCACTCCCTCTCTCCCTCTATATATATATATATACCGATATCAATATAATAGATGTAAGCATGTGTTTATTTATTTGTTTCCCCACACATCCGGCTAAGATCCGCTGGGGTATTATTTTATTTTCTCTCTCTTTTTCTTTCCCTTTTCTGCCCGGTTATCAACAACAAATCCCCCCCCCCCCCCCTACTCGCATACAAAAAAAAAAAGGAATGTTGCCCCATCGTTTTCCTCCTTCCGCCCCCGCCGCCAGAAAAGAAAAAAAAAAAAAAAAAAAAAACGTTTGCGCACCCACACCCTTCCCCGCATATGTTTATGTGTGTTTATTTACTTTTTTTTTTTTTTTCAGTTCGGTTTCATTTTAAAACGGCGTCAAAAATCCAAAAACAAAAAGAAATATAAATATAATTATTTCCTTCTCATGCATTTTCTACTTTCAAATCAAACAGCAATAAATAAACACACACACACACACACATATATATATAGATTTATAGATTTATAGATTTCGTGATGCTACTCGTATGTGTAGGCACACGTATGTGTATTTCTGTGCTCCCTTGCCGAGCGGCAACATCAGAAAGAAGAAAAGTGATAGAGAGAGAAAGAGAGAGAGAGAAAATATATTTATTAAAAAAAAAGAAAAAACGCAGGCGTACACGAACGCCATGACAGCCATAACACGGCAGTAGAAATAAATAACGTCACACAACACAACAAACACCCAACAAAACTGCCAATAAATCGCAAACTGCCTTTCCTCTCCCGGTCCACCACCCCCGCACGCACGCATGCACGCAATAATCCCCATGTCAGTCATGGCACCGGTCTCTCCTTCTTCGTTTCATTTGAATTACAGTCGTTGTTTTTTATTTGATTTGATTTGTTTTTTGTTTTTCTGATTTTTTTCCCCCATTATTCACTGGCATCGGCTCTCTGTGCATTCCACACAATCTCCTGCGCAACGGCGGGGAAGAGCTCCTCTGGTATGGAGTGTCCCATAAGTGGGAACAAGACCAGCTTGGCTGAGCGCCCAATCACTTTGGCGATCTCAATACCATTTTCGTATGGAACAAGCTGGTCGAGCATGCCGTGTATCACAAGTGTTGGTGTTTTCAGACCCCTTAAGCCCTCCACACGACTCTCCGCCCGTTGAACCGCAGAAAGGTGGCGACGCAAACTCCCAGGATCATCGGGAGCGCGTTCAATAATTTTTTTCATAAATTCCCGTTGCTTATCCCTATCGATCGGGTAGCCGTCACCCGCCATGCGAAGCGCCAGGTGGCACTTGAACTCAACCAAATCCTCAAGCGCAGAGCTAGCCGGCTTTTCCAGAAACCCCAGCTTGACCCGCCAGCTTTCCCGCACTCGATTAGGGTTGCCGGTGTGTGAGTATATGATCGAAAGACTTCGCACACGGGCCGGGTAGTGGATAGCCATAAGTTGCACAATCATCCCGCCCATACTGGACCCCACCACATGAGCCTTATTGATGCCGAGAGTCGTCAGCAAATTCATTCCATCCGCAGCCATGTCCTCCAGCGTGTATGGTAGTTTCTCACCAAACGATAGAATTCGTGGCAGGATCATCCGAGCCACGTGGGGCCCGGGGAAATCCGAGAAGTGTGTTGAAAGTCCCACGTCACGGTTGTCGTACCGAATCACGTAGTAGCCACACGCTGCAATCCGTTCACAGAGTTCATCACGCCAGAGCATACCGACGCTCATCATGCCCATGACCAAAAGGACACATGGATTTTTAGGGTCCCCAAATGAGTTGTAACATATGGATATCTCCACCCCCGTACGGGCGCACTTGCCAACCTTCACAATCGTATCTGGAGTAGGGGGCATGCGTCACAGAAGGCCTTACAACAATTCTTACAGTCGTCTTTTATCCCTCACCTGTAAGGAATACACAATCCGCATTAGACCGGGAATTGATGCAAAATGTAAAAAGACAAAAAAAAACATAACCAAACTCATTTACCATTAACAACGTCACACCACCGTGACGCGGTGAAGAAGCAGGAAATGAAATACCTAAGAAAATGACATCAATAAAACATCAATACCTCCACCCTTCAACCACCGCCATGTTTCATTGCTGCATCGCCTCTCAGTTGCCGCATTTCCTCAAGGAAATATGCGCCTGGATGAGGCCGTCTCACCGCAGGAAGGGATGGAGGAAGGGGGCAGGGCTCCACACACACACACACACCTGCGCCCATGCACCAGCCAACACGTCCGGAGGGACCTCGTGGGACGCCCGGGGATCGTCGTGAGCCCGCGGAGTGGCGTCCATGACGTTGAGGGTCCGCAACCGCCGGAGTCCCCGCCGCGTGAAGGACTGCAGGGAGGGGGAAGGGGGACGACAGGGAGAAGAAAAAAAAAAAAAGAAACTGCCACCCGCCGCCCTCCAACAAATCCTCGTAAAAAAAAAGAAAAAAGAGTTAAGCCTTCAACCACACACAAAAAAAAACACTACCATCCACCCAGACCCCGCCCGGTCGTACATTCTTCCCGCCCACACACACACACGCACATCTCTACCACTCAAACACAAAGTGACAAGCCACAAGGCTAAAAAAAGCACACAAGAAAAAAAGGAAAAAGAAGCGAATCCACCGCGTCTCAACACAAATCATAGCCTCGATGTTGTGGGCAAACCTTGTTTTCCACGCCTTGACTGTTGCATATTTGCTGCAAGCGTATCAATAATCTTTTCACGCAGTGCGGGGTGTAAAACGTGGCCTATTCCTTCAAGAGTCACAAACTTGGCCTGCGGAATCATGCCGGCAAGCTGTTTCCCGTTCACGTAAGGCACAATGGGGTCTTTCGTGCCATGCAAAATAACTGTGGGCACATGAATGCGTTTTAACCCTGCCGTGCGGTCTTTTGCGTTCAGCAGTGCCACGTACTGCCGCAAGACACCACTGAAATCAGAACTCCGCCGAAGTATGCGTTGCACCTGTTTAAAACAAGCCTTTCGATCTATGGAAAAGGAAGGCTCCGCTCCCGGCGCAAAACGTGCAATAAGATTCACTAATGTGTGTGCCAACGCCTCCTCCTCTTTTGGCGAAGGACCGCTTTTACCATTTTTCCCTCGAAGTGAAGCAGGCACCGCAAAGCCTTTACATGCAATATATGTGACAACCTGGGCCAATGCAAATGCTTCACGCAAAGAGGGCCGCCCCGCTTGCAAGGATCCACTGTACGTTGATAACAATGAAAGAGACTCAACACGTGTGGAGTGGTAAATGGCTACCAATTGCGCAATCACACCACCCATACACATGCCTACAATATGCGCCTTGCGAACATTCAACGCGTCAAGTAAACCGACACTGTCCCTCGCCATGTCCTCCAATGTGTAGACCTCACGTAGGAGCTTACGACCCCCTGACACAGCACCAGAGTAGGCCAACCGCATCAAATGTAGTTTACTGTCGCCGAACGCCCCAAACCAGGAGTCTGAAGAGGACGGTGAAGAAGAGGAAGATGAAAATGCATTAGTATTCCATACATCCGTCTCATCCTCTGCAGAATTTGTAGTTGCTGTTGCCGGCATCACCCTTCGATCGGTGAGAAATGTACTCCGCCCCATATCACGGTTGTCAAACCGAATGACATAATACCCACGTGATGCCAAACATTCACAAAACTTCATATCCCATAGCAGGGAAGGAGAGGCAAGGCCCATGATAAGAAGCACCACGCCACCCGCGGCATCTCGCTTCCCAAATGTTTGGTAGCAAAGCCAAATACGAACCCCAGTGCTCCTGCACACGCCCACATCTACACATTTCTCACCAAAGAGAGAGTAACGATCACACGACAATGCAGCGATTGTGTTATTTGCCATGTTTTCTCCACTAATTACAAACGCCTCTGAGCCTACGCGCTCTGCAGGAGGCCTCGACAATTTTCGGGTGTCGATGCCCACCGTCCAATTTTGTCGTGTCGCGTCCAAAGACCGTCTCACAGTGGCAGCAGAAAACGACTACTTGACTTCTTCCCTGCTTGATGCCTGGGTGCTGCTCGTCTCACGTCCCCCCTCTCTCTCACTCTCTCTTTCTCGGTATTTCCCCTCCCCTCTCCTGTAGCGACACTCAAGATGTAAACAGTCCTTTCGCTTCCCTCACTTTTGTAGAGACGTCCACAGTAAAAGAAAAAAAAAAAAAAAAATTGGAATAGAACAACAAAAATAAAAAATAAAATAAAAAAGATGATGTCAACACGTCCCGGTGAGAGGGAAACCAGCCGGGTGGCGTCCAGAGTGAAGAACAGGGGGAAAAAAAAAAAAAAAAAAAAGAATGATAATAATCATAAGGACAAAAAGAGAGGACGCAGTAAAAATGCGGATACATGCGCAGGCACCCAACAGAAAGTAAACAACAATTAAAAATATCATCCAAAAGTAATAAAAATATAAATATAAAAACAGGGAGGGGGGGGGGGGGAATTTAAAAAAATAAAATAAAATAATTAAATTGACGCCAATGAC